TTCAGCAGGTGCCAGCTACTGTCAGTAGAGGTCTTACAAGGATTGGAGATCTTGGTCCTGATGAATTAAATGGCCACGAGTTTTCAGAGGCAGCAGAGGGGAGACTTGGTCTTTCCAAAACCACAGAGAGCGGAGGAAAGAGTTTAAAAGGGGAGAAACCCAAAAGCCGTGGGGCTGGAGAAGCTGGGAGTTGTGTGTTAAACAGTATGGGCCAAGGAGAGGGCAATGCGCCCAACAGTACTCCAAACCCTTCCCAAAATGAACTTCACAAAGAAAAGAAGCCAAATGGGCTCCCGGTGACCTGCGACATTTGTTCAGCCACTTTCCGGTCCAAGCCTGGCTTGACCAGGCACAAAGCTGTCAAGCACCAGGTGAAGAACGGGGGCGTACCACAGCCCAGCAAGACTCCCAGGTCCACTTTGATTCCTGCAGACAAGACATCGAAAGCAGCCCAAAAGGTGCCCAGAAGGAGCCTGAAGGCTTCGGTCAAAGACAAAACCTGCAGCTCACAGATGCCGGCCACCAACATTGAACACGTCCCCAAGAAAATATGCCCAGACCTGGAGAAAGAGCCCAGCGCACAGATGCAAGAAGTGGTCAGCAGAGTGCTCAGCGACCTCAGCGTGATCTCCTTTGAGATGTCCCAGGAGCTGCACCGCACACGTGTTCTGCAGAGGGAGATGAAGGCAAAGGGACCGCGCTTGGAGACGAGGGGAGCAGGCGAGGCAGCAGCTGGGAAGCTGTACCAGGGACGGCAAGCCAGGAAGGGAGAAAAGGGCAGAAGGAGCCAAAGCAAAGATCCTGGAGAGGTGAACAGCAATTCTGAAAAGAAGCTCAACAGGAAAGTGAGACGAAGGAAAGCAAAGGTATTTCCCAGCAGAAATGAGCCCGATGGTCCATGTGAGCTGGAGAAGAACGCAGGCCCTCCCCCTGCTCTCCTCAGCTCCAGTCTGCCCAGGATCATGGAGGGCTTGCATGAGCCGGGTGGTTGCATCTCCACAGAGGAGCAAAATAGGTCCAACTCAACCCAGCACTCTCAAAAAGCTGAACAGTCCCCTTGTGCAGCTGAGTTTGCAGAGGACCTGGGCGACAGGATGGTGTCTTCAAAGGAGATGGACAGCAAGGAGTCAGTAACGGGCACGGCCGCCTGTCCCACGGTCGGGGAGGTGGAAGATCCAAATGGAGTGGAAGACACGCAGGCTTGCAAAAAATGGGTTAGCAGGTTTGTGAAGCAAGTGGAGAAGGGATTGGGCAAGTTAGGCGAAGAGCAGCATTGTGGTGCCGATGGCGCGGAGGAGATCGATGCTGAGACAGGAGACAGTCCTGCAGCAGGCAGCGGTGCTGGGAACCGGAGCAGTGCCCCGCAGGGTCCCATGGCTCCCGCTGAGGAGGGGCTGCCGCTGGAGACGTGTGATTCAGAAACAACCCAAAAGGCTCCCGGGCAAGACGCTCTGCAGACCGCGCCGGGGACAAGCCCTCCTCCTGCAGACCCAAAGCAATGGGCGAAGGCAGACGGGCCACTGGGCAGAGAGCACTGCGTGGAGAGCGCGGCTGTCTCAGACCTCCAGAGCTTGTTTGACGATGACTCCACGTTCTCCCAGCTGTTCCCCCGGGACGACCAGTTCATCCGGAGAAAGTGCACACGGGTGTATGGGAAACGCAGCAAGAAACCCAAGCCCGTCACGGAGGTAAACCTCCGGCCAGCGGGTGCCATCGACCTCTTCACGATCCGATTAGCTTCCGACCTCAGCAAAACCAGCTCTTTCTGTGTCACCAGGGAGGACCCTTGCGAATATGAAACCATCTCTGTCGACGACGCCTTAATGCTAAACATGTGTCACGGCAGCAAGGCGAAGAGCGGAGATGCTGCTCCCAGTGGATCTAAAAGCACTGCGCCGACGTCAGGCTGCGAGAAGACCGACCAAGGGAAGGAGGACATCGACCTGGAAGACAACATGCTAACCTTCTTGTGCCAAAACAGCCAAGTGGACAACGTCCCCAGCTTGAACATCTGGGGGAGTCTGGAGAAGGAGGGAGAAAGCCTCTCTGCCGAGGACATGTTTGAGCCTCTGATGGACCTTGAGGATGAGCACCCGCTCAGAGAAGTGAGCTCCGAGCCCCCTGACCTGGCAGAGGAGCCCTACGATGGCAAGGCTAACGAAGAGTCAGACTCTCCCGAATTTCATACCATCGACATCGAGATGCTGAACGCAAAGCTGAAAATGAGAGACATGTGCTTCTTCGGCCCTTGCGAAGATCTTCCTGGCCACGGGGAGGACGACGCTGTGAGTTTCAGTCCGAAGCCGGGCCAGCACAGCAAGCACAGAAGTAAGCTAGAAGATGGGAAGCTGGGGAAAAACCGCAGTGAGATAACCATCAAGGCCAAAGACAAGCAGTACAAATGCAAAGTCTGCTTCCAGTGGTTCCTGACGTTAGGGGAGCTGGACTTCCACAAGCTCTCCCATAACCCTTCCCCTCCGCCTACCTGCTACATGTGTGTCCAGCGCAAATTCAGCTCCCGGGAGCAGCTGAGGGACCATCTGAAGGAGAAGCACGCCAAAAACAAAGCCGGTCTGTGGGCTTGTGGAATGTGCCTGAAGGAGATCTCCGACGTCTGGATGTACAACGAGCATCTCCGGGAGCATGCCACCCAGTTCGCGCGCAAGGGGCAAGCGCAGAAATCCGTGATGGGCCTGCCAGCCTGCTTCGGTGAGGACAATGCCGCTGTCACCCACTTCCTCAACACCATCATGTATCGGAAGCCCAGCAGGTCCTCCCGGCACGCCGACCCCAGCAGCAAGCATGCAGTTAGCAAGGAGAGCAAGAGCCCCAGGGAGCTGCCCCTCGAGCAGGAGGCCAAGGCGATGAAAGACCCCTTGGAAAGCAACATCAAGGTGAAGCCACCTGCACCCAGCTCCTCTAAAGCATCCGCCAGTCCGTCTCCAGAGCACATGGCAAAAAGCGAAGGCACCCCAAAATCTGTCCCCATGCACCCGGACTGCAAGGATCCTTCCAGGGACTGTCATCACTGTGGCAAACAGTTTCCCAAACCCTTCAAGCTCCAGCGGCACTTAGTCGTGCACAGTTTACAGAAGATTTATTTGTGCCACAAGTGTCCAATGTTCTACCAGGAGACCAAAGAGCTTCGAAACCACCTCAGCCAGGAACATGGGATAGTGGAGGAGCAGGAGATCAAGCACACCACCCTGTACGCCTGCGAGCTCTGCGCAGACGTCATGCACGTTATCAAGAAGTCCTTCATCTGCAGCATGTGCAACTACACCTTCTCCAAGAAAGAGCAGTACGACCGGCACATGGAGAAGCACCTGGTGGGAAGCAACAAGACTTTCAAATTCAGAGGGGTCATGAGGCCCGGCGTTGCCTCCAGAGAGGGCAGGGAGAAGGTGAAAGAGGACAGTTCTCTCCGGGAGGGCATGCCACCGAGCAAGAAGAGGAAGGTTGCTCACCACGGCAGCTCACTCCCGCGCAGCTCGCCGGTCCACCTGGACCCCACTAGTGACCTTCAGCTGGTAGAGGCTGCAAGCCCCAGCCTGCAAGCTCCCACTGACTCCTTCCCTACAGCACCCGGTGACCCAGGAGCACCTCTGCCCCAACCCTCCGTGAAAACAGAAGACCTGGTGGGTGACTTCTCCGACCTCCTGGCGGAGATGGAGAAATCCCAGTTTGACACCCTGCCTCCACCACCCTGCCTTTCCCCGTCTTTGCCACAGGCTGCGGCGAGCAGTCCGGAGCTTGGCCATATCACTGCCCTGTCTATCGAGGAGCTGGAGAAAGGAGCGTTTGATGGGAAATCACTTCCTTTCTTGGACTCGCCCGAGTTTACCATTGACCTTGCTGGCTTGGCTTGTAACCAGGCCACAGGCCAAAAGCTCTCTCCTCCACACCTGACCGAGAAACGTGGCTACACCGATGCCCATAAAAGAACAAGCGTAGGCAACAAAGACGAATATATAGCGGGTGTCCTGGAAAATCCCAGTGCAGCCACCGATGCCGTGGATGAGATCCCATTTCTCCAGCTTGCCAAGAAAGCCTCGGAGCTTCCTTCCCCGCAGGCAGAGGCTCCACCAGCCAAGGAGACCCACAGGTGGGGCAACCCCAGTGCCAGCGACGCCTCTTCTTGGGAAGGTGCATCTAAGACCACATCTCCAGAGGCTGCCCACCACCCCCTGCCCCTGAAGGACAAGACGGCATCGCCCACGCTGACCAGGGCTGCCAGAGATTCGCCCCTGCAGAAGAAGACCGCGGGTAGCCAGCCCGGCAGTGAGGCGGCTCCTGATGTGGGCAGCCCCGGCGGCAGCACCGAGGAGGGTCAGCAACCCATCTCGGGGAAGGAGAAAGCCGTGCCCGAGGCTAAGGACAGCAGCGCTAACGCCAAGGACCAAGGCGGCAACCCAAGCAAATCCACCAGCCACCAGCCCAGAGGCGAGGCAGCCAGCAACGCCGTGAGGCACGGCCACGTGGAGCCAAGCAAAGCCACCGGCAAGCTTCACCCCAAGAGGCGGAAAGAGCACAAGTCCTTGAGCCACCGGAGCAGCTCCGGCTCCCGGGAGAACATGGAAGGAGACGGGAAAAAGAAAAAAGCCCGGACCCCATGCCCGGGGAGGAGCGAGAGCGCCGGCGAGCTCAAACGCGCTGGCTGGAGCAACGCCGAAGCATCTGCCCTCTCCCCCGGGAGGAGGGAGACGCACTGCAACAAACTGGTACCCAAGCCCAAAACGGGCACCCAGCTGAAGAAGATGGTCCTGGACACTTACAACCAGAAGAAGGGTGAGCTCCGTCACGCCAACGGGGATGTGAAACGCAGGAAGGCCATTCTGGGGAAGAGCCTCCACCAAGTGTTGGCCAAGGGGCCAGCGCCATCCCCGCGTGGCTCCTTGCACAGCCCGCGCGCCGCCCGGGGTGCCAAGCCGGCCGGCTCGGCCCGCTACCGCCACCGCCGAGTCCCAGAACAACCTGCTAAGCCAACTCTTTGGGCAAAAATTAACTAGCTTTAAAATTCCTTTAAGAAGAGATACTTCAGAGTAATTTATGGAAGTGACTTATGGTGATCCTCAGCTGCTTTCATGGGGTTTGCAAGGGAAAAATTATCAAAGCATTAAATTCGTTTGTGTAGCATGATTTCTCTGTCTAGCTTAAATGAACTTGCACTGCAGCCTCTGTGAAATAGTTTGCTTTGTGTCTACTAATCTACTTTAATTCACCTGATTTATCATGCAAATGCCAGAACTTTGATGTTGCTGATGATTTTCATGAACTGAAATTGTAATCGCTTTGGGCAGACTGAATCGTCGAGAGCAATTGCTTTATTGCAGAAGTGCTGAGGTTATAAGGATACTTGCAAATCTCAGACCCTTTTGAGACTGTGTCTGTGTTATCTTTGTACAAAGTACTTGAAGAGATGAACTTCATTCCATAGACGTCTTATTCATAAGGTGCAGTACACTGTAGAAAGCAAATTTTTTTTTTTGAAGATTTTGCACAAATAATCCCGTACAATTCATTTAATTGGGAGCTGGCCTAAGAGATGATACAATTAACAAAAAAAAAAAAAAAAAAAAAATAAATTAAGAATTGAGTGTCCTATATTTTGACAGCCATCCCTATGAATTTGTTTCTACATCGTCAAGAGAATAAGGAACCGGCTCTGGGGCTGCCGGGGCTGTCGGAGCCCTTCAGAGGATGCTGCCACTCTTTGACCACTGTAGACGTTGTAACCGGAGGAGAGCTGCCACCGCGAGCAAACTGCACCTTGACACTTGTGACAAACTCTGATTTTTTTAGGGTTTTTTTTTTTTGTGTGTGTATGTGTGTGTGTGTGTGTGTGTTTTCTTTTTGTTGGGGGGGGAGGGGGGTTGCGCAACAACAAAACTGTGCCAATTTACCGCACCGAAACGGTACTGTCCGAGTGCCCTCAACAGTATCACTTCTAAACTATCTTACTGTATTGAGTTAGTGGCTATATAGGTATCCGCTTTTTACTATGCAGTTACTGGTGCTATTCTTCTTTTTTAATGTGAATACAGACTTCCTTGATTGAAAAATAAAAGGGAACCGTTAGGAAGTAGCCATTACCTGTAAAAGAAAACGAAGCAGGAAAAAAAAATTTTAAAAATCCAACTTTAGGGGAAAAAATCCTGTATGCTGGTACTCCGTAGTGTCGAAAAGGTTACGTCATGTTAAACGAGCACGTTATACAACCGAACTTTTGAATCCGGAAAGAAATCTCAGGTGCAAACGAGGACATGAAAGATAATTAAAAATACTATTGAAATACTCCCAAGTCAAGGAGGTGAAGTAATGCACTGATGTGATATGAACAGTCAGAGTACTTTGCGTCTGTCCTGCAATTATTTTTTGTTTTGTTTTAGATTTAAAAGGAAAAAAAAGATGCTTTATTCTGTTAATATGTATCTTTACAATTCTTTGTATTGTATAAAAATATTGTAGGTAATTTACCTTGGGTGCAATGTGTTCTGTCAAAAGTTTTTATTTTGATATTTTGTCAGAGAAGCAGAGAGAGAGCAGGAAACGCCGTTTTATGATGTTGTATGTGTGCTTTTAAAGTGCCTCTTTAATATTGTTAAATAAAGTATGAGATGAAAATATGGGGTGGTACTGTAAAATCATACATGATTAATCTTTTCAAATATATTCCAATATTTTCACAGAAATCTCCTGTCTGCGTGATGTTTGTGGGATGTTCCTCCCTGGCTGTGTCCCGTACCCCGCAGGCCACTCCTCCCGCGCACCTCTCTAACCAAACGATGATATTTCTAATTGGCAGTTGGATGCTCGGTACGTCTTCGTGGTGTCCTCTGCAAAGTGGCCGCAGGAGGACGGTGGTGCCGCTGCCAGCACCTTTGCAATCATTTGCAAAGCGGTGGAGCTTCTCAGTGGTGAAGATGCTTGTGCATCTCCTCTTCCTCACTGCATCTTGCCCGAGTCCTGCTCACGACACAGGTGTCTTGTCCTGGGGGGGAAAAGCCCAACATGATGGTGATGGTGATGGTGATGGTGGTGATGATGGCCCAGTTTGGTCGTCACCAACTGGTGACGGTGATGGTGATGGGGGTGGCCCAGTTTGGTCATACCCAATTGGTGACGGTGATGGTGATGGTGGTGATGATGGCCCAGTTTGGTCGTCACCAATTGGTGATGATCAAAGAAGGCCGTCACCGTCACCAATTGGGTATGACCAAACTGGGCCACCCCCATCACCATCACCGTCACCAGTTGGTGATGACAAAACTGGGCCACCACAATCACCATCCCCAGTTGGTGATGACCAGACTGGGCCACCACCATCACCGTCACCAGTTGGTGATGACAAAACTGGGCCACCACAATCACCATCCCCAGTTGGTGATGACCAGACTGGGCCACCACCATCACCGTCACCAGTTGGTGATGACAAAACTGGGCCACCACAATCACCATCCCCAGTTGGTGATGACCAGACTGGGCCACCACCATCACTATCACCAGTTGGTGATTACCAAACTGGGCCACCACCATCACCATCACCAACTGGTGATAGTGATGGTGGTGGCCCAGTTCGGTTGTCACCAACTGGTGATGGTAGTGACCCAGTTTGGTCGTCACCAATTGGTGATGATCAAAGAAGGCCGTCACCGTCACCAATTGGGTATGACCAAACTGGGCCATCATCACCACCATCACCATCACCATCACCATCACCGTCACCAGTTGGTGACGACCAAACTGGGTCACTACCATCACCAGTTGGTGACAACCGAACTGGGCCACCACCATCACCATCACCATCACCAGTTGGTGACAACCGAACTGGGCCACCACCATCACCAATTGGTGATGATCAAACTAGGCCATCACCGTCACCAATTGGTGATGATCAAAGAAGGCCGTCACCGTCACCAATTGGGTATGACCAAACTGGGCCATCATCACCACCATCACCATCACCAATTGGTGACGGTGATGGTGATGGGGGTGGCCCAGTTTGGTCATACCCAATTGGTGACGGTGATGGTGATGGTGGTGGCCCAGTCTGGTCATCACCAATTTGTCCTCAAGCTGACCTCTGCCGGCACGGCGCTGAGGTCTGAAGGTAGGAGGCTGACACAAAGCCAAGCATATTATATTCTTTAATTACTGTTGCAATCATAACATTTAAACGCTGTCAATGAGAGATAGCTCCTAACTGCAGGCTAGAATCCTTGCCACTTGGGGCTTGTAACTAAAACTGCAGGATTAATTTGATTAATTGATAGAATTATTTTCCAAACTACTCTTTTGTTTATGGAGGCTTAAAATGCTTGCTGTCTGCACCCTCCTGGTGTGTTGCAGAGTGGAGATAAAGTGGCTGAAAATAATTAGTATGGCTTAATTTAGGGAAAAAAATAACCTCAAAAGAATTTTGCAGAAAATTTAAGGCAGCACATTTTACTTTGTTTTGGCAGGAAATATTATGGAGCTGGAAATGGGACTTTTATGTTTTCCCTCTACTATATTTCACCAGAGCAGCAAAGCTACGGGGCAGAGGAGTATTTCGTGCCTGGGTGTTACTGTAGCTCTCCCGCGCCCCCAGCTTCATAACGTGGGCACGTGGGAATGAAGTTCTGGCAGGGGTTTTGCTGCGGGGGATGGGACCCGGCCCGGGGGCCCTGGGCAGGGTGCGGGGCCGCCACCCTAAATGTGCGGGGCCTCCCCCCTAAAGCAGCACCCGCCTTATCGCCGCACGGGCCACGAGCGATGCTCGCCTCGGGTACCGCTTCCTCCCGAACGCTGCTGCCCGGGGGGGACGCTGGCATCA